ACTGCAGCTAAAAATCGTTTATAAATGTGCTATATAAATAAAACTTGATTTGATTTGATGACTTGCACATGTAGGACTTACTCCCACCTCTGGTAATGATAATACAAATGTATGTTTTTTTTATGTTTTACATTTTTAACTTCTTCTTTTCTACTTTTTCTGTTCATTCGTGAAGTAGGCTTTCTACCCAGCTGGCACACTAATGGCACATTTCCACTGCAGCGGGGTAGCCCCGTTTAAGCGTCCCTAAGCGTCCTCGCTCAGACCTCGGGCTGCCTCGCTGGCCATCCGAGGCCGTGGCGCATTACCATTACAGTTTAGGACCTGGGGTAGCAACGCAGTGTAGGCGGGGCATCTGTGCAAAGACATCCTGGAACACTTTCACATTTCGAGTTGTTCCGTCGAGCTCCCGCTGGATTTTATCATCCCCAATGAGATGTAGGAACGTCAAAAAATGTGTATAAAAATGCTGCAAGCTTGCTTCTAGATATATATGCGACGCTAGGGATGATCTCGCACGCGATCTTGTGACGATTCTCTCTGACCAATCAGCAGTCGAGAGTGTTGACGTCACTAGTTCAGCCCTGGCCCTGGCCTGATAGAACCACGATTTTATGGGGCCGGAAAAGAGGGGAAAAGTACCCGCTAGCCGGTGCTACGCTATATGGAAAGGCCACCAAAGTGACCAAAAGCAAAGACCCTTGATGTTGTGTCATCAACAGGTGTACAGTGGGGCTGACAGAATACATGCGTGGCAGATCCTCCAGCGGTGACTAATGCATGAGGCTTATTGGACTGTTTGTATCATGCCTTGAGAATGAACGAGAAGAAAGGCTGACCCTGGAGCAGATTGAGGAAGAGCTGGCAGTGCACATTACATTACATGTCACTTGTTAGACGCTTTTATCCAAAGCGACTTACATACTCAATACTGTCGGCAAACCCCACAGGAGCAATTTGGGGTGAAGTGTCTTGCCCAGGGACACAACGACATGCTGACTGCAGTGGGGTTTGAACCTGTGACCCCCTGATCCGAACACCAATGCACAACCCACTGCACCACACGCCTCCATAGTGCGCAATACTAACAGTCTGACGTTCATAAAGGTGAGTACAACAATACACTCACTCAGCTGTCAACAACCACTGCGTTGCCTGTGTGTAAAAACAAAAGCTTTTATATGTGTGTTTTTTGGCTGCATCCATTGTGGATTTGCTATTGGTGATACAGCTCACCAATCACTCTATCTTGGTGATGTTTTATTACTGTTCATTCCATAATAAATGTCAAGTTATGTATGAAGCTCAATATTGCTTGTCGCACCCGCTGCAGTGTCTTTATACTTTTTATTCTCTGTCATTTGTATTTGATTGTCTGAGGCTATGAAAAGGATGGCTATAGACATATAAATGATAATCAGTTGAACAAAGTCCAGTCTGTAGATGTGAGAATAATATAGTTCCCAGTTTTCGGCTGGTTCCTGATTCGATCCACAGATCCTCTAGTATCTAAGTGTCCTTTAAGTATGACACTGAACCACTCCTTATTAGCAGGTTGGCATTTTGCATGGCAGCCACTGTCACTAATATGTGTCTGAATGTTGGCATCGACAGAACTGTGATAAGGGAAAGTGCATGAATAGGAGTGCAGTTACTTGAGTATAATTTTCTAGTACTCTTTCCATCCTTGCAGGTTATATTTAGCACTGTACAGCCCAAGGAACCAGGTCTAAGGAGAGTGTAAATATATTCCTTATCAGTGGCGGCGCTAGGGGGTGGCTACTTGGGCTCAAGCCCCGGATGTTTTCTGAAAAGCCCCGGATGTTTCACTTAAAAAAAAAAAAAAAATGTGTAATTGATTTATTTTTATTTTTATAACGTCTCGGGAGTAATGTGCAGTACCGGAGTCCACCAGAGAGGCAGCCACTGTGGGACATTAGCCTGCGTACTGCGTAGCCTGCCCTGAAGAAGAAGTGATCCTTCCTAGTGCCTGACGAGTTTTAAGCTAATAGCCTATACAGTTATGGATATTAGAAAAAGTTATTGTCATCGAAGCAGGCGCCACAAGCTGCAGCAGCAGCAGTATCAGCAGCTGACAACAATGTCATCACCAGCAGTCAAGAAATGGATGATGTTTCAGGTTTGTTAATCTAATGGTGATATCTGCACTCTGGCTGACTGAGTAAGAAGTGAAAAAGAGGGATGTAACGTTAATGTTATAGCTAGTAAACATGGAGTAACCACACTAAGTATACCCTTATATGTTAGTATGTATACAGAACATGACTAAAAATTATCCTAAGATGTAACGTTAACCCTTCATAACTCAGTCTACTTTTAAGACACTAAAATAACGTATTCCAATTTTTATTTTGTTTTCACACGTGGAATTATACCGGCTCTCGTTTCAGTACACATAACAACAGAACTGACAGGCAACCCTCTGAATCAGACTCCGATTGGCTTTGACTGCATCCACTCAGAGTGTCCGATTCAGAAACGTGACTCTTACACTCTTTACGTCACAAACAAAGATGGTGGATGAGAATAGATCTATAAAACGATAAGCAATGCGCCAGAATCAAGGTGAGACTATCCGCATCCTTTAAAACTCTACGCACATTCGTTACACCTTAATAAGTAAACGACTATTTGAGTGAGTTAAGGCATTAGTTTGCTTCATTAAAGGGTGTTAATGAGTGTTCTCCAGTGCCTTTTGTCCGCTTTAAGGTGTTATTAAGGTAGGGTTAATGTTGCTCTCAAAGTGCACCAGATTGATGCTTTCAACTTCAATATTTTAAAAAAAATCTTCCCGGGGGAGCATGCCCCCGGACCCCCCCGAGAGGAGGCGACGACCCCCCTAAAGGATGTTCGGTCCACCCCCCACTTATAAAAAATAGCACTGTACCCCTTCACCCCCCACACACCCCCCCAACCCAACGACTCCTGGGCTAAGTCCCGGATCTCCTACAATCCTAAATCCGCCTCTGTTCCTTATTAATTAAGAAAAGGAAAAAAATGGATAGATGGATGGATAGATAGATGTTTAAAATGGTATGTCATTCACAAAACAGGAAGAAGTTCCATTTCATCTCAATGTCTCTCCCTATCGTCTATTCCCTGTCTGTCTGTCTTGTCTCTCTCTTCATCTCTTTCTTCCTTTCCACGCACTCTGTCTCTCTGTCTGTAGTTTCAGGAATTTCTCAAAAGGATGTTCCCCAAATATCTAGGACGTCTTTTTGGGTCACCATTAAAATGATCTACCAAACTTATAAAACATGCAGAGAAGTTACCTTTTTTTGCATATATGGAGATCTGAGCCTTCCTGCCGACACAAACAACAACAACATCAACCAGTACCAACAACAGAAATAATGTATGCTCTCATTATTATTCCTATTTAGACTTCTAATTTATTCGGCCTTAGTAGGGAACAGCAGTTTCAAAGGAAAAACCATGAAGAGTGGCTTGTTGATAAGGCACGAAAGTTAAGTCAAATTATTCAGTCTTCCGCTCTGTTTTTCCCCTCTCATTTTTCTCACACATAAAAACACAAACACATACTCTACATGCACACATCACTCCGCGTCCTCTCTTAAAGCAGTGACAATTTACAATTAATTAGAGAGAATCCATATTTCCTTGCTTATTTATGCTTTTGCAAAGGCTCTATGATCTGCAGCTCAAAGCAAAGCAGTGAAGACAGAAGCCCAAAACCTCCCCCATCAGCTCCATATGCTTGGAACAGCCTTTATCACTGAACGATTGACAGCTGCATAGGAACTGCCAAATAAAACATCCCAGTCACTCCCCCTCATAAATGTACATCCAACACCAGAATAGAGCTCCGAGAGCCGTTAAGTCATGGCTCATTTTGCTTTCATTTTCATTTGCGGTGTTGTTGTTTAGAAAACATGATAATGATGTGTTAAGGTTTCTCAGAGAGCGATTCCGCAACCGTGCCTCACTACATTACATTGTTATAGTTGTTTGTATGCCTGTTTTCTTCTATGTGATCACTCAATGTAAGAGAGCTAGATATGAAGCAAGAGAAGGAGCCCATTTGTCAGACTGCTTTCAACCACTACTCTCATATGCTCACACTATTGTCTGCCAACATACAACAATTTATTTCCTCTTCTGTGATATTAAAAACAAAAACAATACCTCCCTGCACATTTCTGCTTCTCCTTGTAAAATGGAACACTTATATAAGGCACCATTGTGGATTACATAAATGTCTCAAAGTTATCAATATTTCATCCTCTGTGCGTTTGATGTGTTTGGTAATTGGATATTTATGTTGTGGGCTTCCTCCCTCATAACCCCCATTGCACTTTGGTATTTGTGTACTTGCATGTGTGTATACTTGTAGTATATTATGCTGTGTGTGTGTGTGTGTGTGTGTGTGTGTGTGTGTGCGTGTGTGTGTGTGTGCGTGTGCGTGCGTGCGTGCATTGATGCATACGGTGTGTGTGTGTGTGTGTGTGTTTTGGTGTTTCACCCAGTTCAAGCCCTTTGTATCATAAAAAGTCAAGGAGGGCCCCCCACAGGAAAAAGTCAAGTCTGCTGGAGTAGGTCTCGGATGGAACAGTGTTGCTATTATTGCAGTTATGTGTGCATATGTTTTTTTTCTCACACTGGGATGGTCAAGTAGAGTAGCCAAGAGAGCTGGGAGGTTTCATTTGTCTGGTTTGTATTGTCTCCCCGGGGCAAAGAGAGTTGGTTGTTCTGCTTTGATGAAAACAGAGAACAAGGATAGAATAGGAAGCAAACCAGAAGGAGGAGCACTAGTGTGGGACTCCTTAGTGGGAACTTGAGTCGAATAAATGTTTCACGTTTCTGACAGTTTATGTTACAAAATAACTGCCTGTGTCAAGAAAGTATCCGACAAACCATTCAAGGACCGACCTGGGTATTGTAGCAGCGACTGGCTACTGAATTGAATAACATCAAGGCAAATGGAGGAAAAAGAGGGGAGGAGTGTGCACCCTACTTACAGAAGGAGATGGAGAGATGGTGGAGAGATTTAGTCACGGTAGGGAGCAAAGAAGCATCAGCTGACTTCTCTAAATGCAGTTCCTTTTTGTGACCGAAGGAGGGAGCTGTTGGGTTTTAATTCGGTGATCCCAGAGGAGTAGAAGGAGTAGCCTGCCAAGACCAAAAAGAAAGAGAGAAAAAACATACAGATGGGAACAGAAGGGGGAGGGAGTGTGAAACAAGGAGACAGGGGAGGAGGGAACGAAAAGAAGGAGCCTGACTAGTACCTTCACAGTCCATTACATCACTGTTCTGTATGAGAATACTCCTCTCCGACTTACGTCAGTGGGAAAGACTCCAATCACACTGTTGGTACAGGAGCAACACCTTCATCATGCTATAATACAACAAAAAATACAGTCCTAACAGCTCTTAACACTGCAAAGATGTGTGACATTCGGTGAGATTTGGAAACCACTAACTGCACATAACATGCTTTGAAGGTTGATATGCATGAACGGAAGATGTCGAATATACTTCAGCACAAAGAAGAACGTATCAGGGCAGAGTGGATTTTAGGTTTGGTAAACATGCAAGTGATACAGCTCCTCATATCTATTCTGGTGTTCGAGACAGCTTTACTGCTCATCAGACTAAAAGCACCTCTGCCCCACTGCTGATGTGCCTGCTTACCTGCCTGCCTCCTCAGCAGTTCAGCACAAAGTTGTCTCAAAGTACACGAGAAAAAGGGAGGGGGGAAAAAGCAGCAGTACAGTGCACAAAAATGTGAGTTGGTGTACACCATGAGAATCTGTTGGCATGCATGCATTTGGATATGGGTTTCTAGAGTGATACAGCTGTGCGTGTGTGCGTGCATGCGTGTGCTAATGATCCAGAGCCCTCTTACTCTGCCATGTGAAAGCAGCTCAGTGCCTGGAGGTCCCATATAACCTGTTTGTGTGATTTTGCTGTGGCTGCGGATATTCTAGTCTTATCATCAATCATTAGACTTTCTCGCTAGCTGTTTGAATCAGGTTTACCCTGCTGTGAACACATTTAGTGTAACAGGATCTGTGTGGGTGTGTGTGTGGGTTTGTGTGAGTGTGTGCGTGTGCACATGTCCTGCTGTGAACGCAGATACAGCAACACTCAGCACTGGACATCGCAGCAGGCAGCACCTGAGAGAGATTGAGATAGAAACGTGTGTGTTTGTGTGTGGTGGGAAAATGCTCCTCTGAAAAGATGGAGACTGGAGGAAAAAGACAGGAGGAGGGAGCTAGTGTGCACTCACATCAGCGAGCACCAAACAGAGCTGTACAGTAATACCTTAGAGACACAGGGTGCATCTTCAAAAAACACTCACACATACTACACGCACACACACACACACACACACACACACACACACACACACCACACACACCCACACCCACACACACAAAACATCCAGGTGCAGTGGCTGGTGTCTTTTTGTGATGAAACGCTATTCCCAGGCAGAAATAGGTCACTAACCCCAGGGCCTCTAGATTCAGGAAGACTGGCCTCTCTGAAACCCTGTCTATGTCACACACACGTCTGTTATGTCTCCCGCTGCCTCCACCACACACAAACATACACACACACACACATGCATACACTATCACACACACAATTTACTTATAAAATACCCTAGGGAGATTTGTTCTGCTTTTGTATGTTATTAACACATATACATTTTGGGGGTGTTTTACTGCCATTTTAGAATCAGCTTTATAGTCCAAGTATTTTTTGCAAGCAATTTGACAGTTTTTTTATGTTTCAGTTCCAAGACCATTCTTCAGAAAGATAGAAATACACATACTGCTTAAAAACTAAAACAACAAAGCAGAATGAGGATTGTAAATGATAGATGCATAACTCTTTCAGGATTCATACACATATATATTCTGTATATTAGGCATCGATGAACAACAACATACAGTGTCTCTTTAATGTATACATACAGTGTCTATATATTGTACGTTTAAAAGTAAAACTGTTTCTGTAAATTCTTAAGAGAAATGAAGTATGATTAATATGCATGTAACAAACAGCCCCTTGCATGGAACAGTAACCCACTGTGACCAGTGTTTGTGAGTGAAAGGCACATTGTGATTTGTCATTATTCAAATGTGTTTGCTTTAAAGAACGAAACCAGAAAAGGCACTGCGACCACTGGGTAAACTGTAATTTGCATGCACGTTTGTGATGGGACAATAAACCATAAACAATTATTTACATGAATACTTGCACTAGGACAAGCACAGAACATCATCAATGTATGGCTGACGGCCCACAGCAGGGTTGCATATGTGTGGAAATGAAAAAGAACAAACATAAATAATAAAAACATGACAACAAAACAAATCTGCAAAATTCAAATGGATACAATCAATCAATTTTAGGAAAGAGATTAAGATCTACACATGGGAGCCATCTAGAAGGACAAAACCAACTGTGATTATAAACCTACTGTATAAACTATAAACCATCTCTATTATAACCTCGTCAAATATAGTACTATTTCAAAATATCTTAGAAATCATCTAATATTAAACTTCCATTGATGCTAGTTTTTTTTTTATGTGGCATTGTTGAGCAAACAAACGTAAAAAACCTTTTAGAATATTGAACTGCAAATGGTAGCCCAGAGTGGGCACTTGGCAAATAAATAGAAAATAAAGCCCTCATGTCCCTCCTACTCCACAGAAACAGGCAAATGCATGCACTTTAATCAGTGACCTCAATGAGTATCATTCATTTTAAAGATTATCTTGATTGTGGGCCATATGCCTATACAGTCCCCTCCAAAACTATTGGAACAGCGAGGCCAATTGCTTTATTGTTGCTGTACACTGAAAACAATTAGGTTTGACATCAAAAGATGAATATGAAACAAAAGGTCAGTATTTCAGCTTTTAATTCCAGGTATTTACATCTAGATATGTAAACAACTGAGAAGATAGCACCTTTTGTTTAAACCCACCCATTTTTCATGTGAGCAAAAGTATAGGAACAGAGAATTTAAAATGGTGTGAAAAAATGAATAATACTAAGTATTTCGTTTCAAATCCTTTGCTTGCAATAATTGCATCAAGCCTGCGACCCATTGACATCACCAAACATTTGCATTCTTCTTTTGTGATGCTTTTCCAGGCTTTCACCACAGCCTCTTTCAGTTGTTGTTGTTTGTTTCGGGGGGTTCCTCCCTTCAGTCTCCTCTTTAGCAGGTGAATGCATGCTTAATAGGGTTGTAGTCTGGAGATTGACTTAGCCGGTAAAAAACCTTCCACTTAAACTCCTTGGTTATTTTGGCAGTGTGTTTTTGGTCGTTGTCTTGCGACATGATGAAGCATCTCCCGATCAGTTTGGTTGCATCTCTTTTTAAATTGGCAGACAAAATGTTTCTGTAGACTTCTGAGTTCATTTTGCTGCCTCCATCATGTGTTTCATCATCAATGAAAATCAATGAGCCCGTCCAGAAGAAGCCATGCAAGGCCAAGCCATGACATTAAATCCACCATGTTTCACAGATGAGCTTGTGTGTTTGGGATCATGAACAGATCCTTTCATTCTCCACACACGTTAGCCTTTCCATCACTTTGGTAAAGGTTCATCTTTGTTTCATCTGTAAAAAGAACTTTTGTACTTTTGTACTTTTTGGCAAATTCAAATCTGGCCTTCCTATTCTTATTGCTAATGAGTGGTTTGCATCTTCTGGTGTAGCCTCTGTACTTTTGTTTTGAAAGTATTTTGCTAACGTTGGATTGTGATACGTTCACTCCTGCCCTCTGGAGGTTGTTGGTGATGTTTCTTTACAGTTCTCACGATGTTTCTGTCATCAACTGCTGATGTTTTCCTCCGTCAACCCGTTTGAAGTCTGATGCTCAGTACACAAGTGCTTTCTTTATTCTTAAGGACATTCTAAATGGTTGTACTGGCTATGGCCAATGTTTGTGCAATGGCTCTGGTGGATTTTCCATCTTCTCTCAGTTTCAAAATGGCTTGCTTTTTTCCAATAGGCAGCTCTATAGTCTTCATGTTGGTTACACCGTTTTAACTAAAAATGCAGTCTGCACAGGCAAAACCCAAAGCTAAAACTTAGAGCAGACATGCAGTGCTATTTATTGTTTGAATAATCAATGTAGCAGGACACAACTGGGCAACACATAAACACCTGTCAGTAACATGTTCCAATACTTTTGCTTACTTTAAAAATGGGTGGGTTTAAACAAAAGGTGCTATCTTCTCAGTTGTTTAACAGATCTAGATGTAAATATCTGGAATTAAAAGCTGAAATACTGACCTTTTGTCTCATATTCATCTTTTGATGTCAAACCTAATTGTTTTCAGTGTACAGCAAAAAAAAAGCAATTGGCCTCGCTGTTCCAATAGTTTTGGAGGGGACTGTACTTGGATTCAAGTCTTTAGGCTAGCTACAATATTGGTGAAGTGTTTTAGAAGTGGAGCGTATACTGTAGGTTGTTTCCTTTTTGGGTTGTAGTATACTGTAGGCAGTTGTTGCCAATTCTAGAATAGCCTTTTTCACAGCTGAATAAGGCTTGCACTGACCTGCATTCGTGGAACAATTGGAACAACCTTTTAGCCAAAGTTTTCCGTGACTGACGAAATGTTTTGGTGGCTGTGTAAATCTCTAGGTTATTATGTATTTTTTTGCCCTATGACGCCAAAAATAAACTGCCTACCCCAACTTTAAGAGTAATAACACTATACAGTCATTATTTATAGCTCAAAGCCTAACAATAACAAGATCTAAAAGTTCTAAACTGTATTTAAATGTGATATATAAGTTAAGTTGATTTCTGATTCTGATTCAAGTTCCGAACAACCCTCACCTGGAGGACTGAGTTTCAGGGGCCACTGACCTATGTGCCCTGCTAAAATGTCCCTGGATAAGAAAAACTACAAATACCTATAGTGCTTATGTGTCTGATCTTAACCTCTTACCTCTTTGCAGATATATGTAGTAAGTATCTTCTATTATAAATATAATAATTTGTTTTTTAAATGTGGTTATTTAGAGTTGAATTTATTTATTTGATTTTACTTTGTATTGCAATTCTAGTTTTTCTTGAAAAAAAAAAATTCTATACAGTATATGATTCTTTCCCCACAACAATATTTACACTCAATATAAAATCATATTCAACCTACCACAAACAACTAATAGCAGATGCAGCACTTCAATTTGAATTCAGAAAGTTTGTGTGAGAGCTAAGTTTTAGAGTAGTTTTTCTGACTGGGTAGGCAGAACTGGTAATTTATTTGACAGCAAAATCCTCATGCTTGCTACTAAATTGTTTTTCTTTCTCATCACATCATTCACCTACTGTGTCCATCCATCTGTCAACTGTTTACCGCTTGGAGTCGGATCGCGGAGGAAAACCAGCTCCAGCAGAGGGCCACAAACGTCCTTTCCCCTGGCAACATCAACCAGCTCTGACCAGGTGGAGATATAACCCTCCACCTGGTCCTGGGTCTGCTCCTCTGTCTCCTACCAGCTAGACGTTCCTGGAACAGCTCCCTAGGGATGTGGATACTGTAGGTGGAATCAGGTGACCGAACCACCTCAACTGGTTCATCATACGCGAAGTAACAGCGGTTCTACTCCGAGTCCCTCCCAGATGACTGAACTTATCAATTTATCCCTAAGGGAGATGACGGCACCCTCCAGAGAAAATCAATTTCAGCCGCTTGTCTCAATGATCTCGTTCTTTCGGTCATGAACCACCCTTCATAACCATAGGTGAAAGCAGGAAAGAAGATGGACGAGTAGATTGAGAGCTTTGCCTTCTAGCTCAGCTCTCTCTTCATCACAGCTACTGCAATACCGCTCCTGCTGCTCCAACTCTCCGGCCCATCTCACGCTCCTTTGACCCCTCTCTCGAGAACAAGACCCTGAGACACTTGAACTCAAAAAAGTGTTTCAGTCTAAATACAGTACATTGAGGTCTTGACCTAACAGAAGTCGCTGAGATAAGTCATTACCATTAGATCATGCTTGTGTTGTATACTTGCCAGAAACACAAACAAACTGATACAACTGCACATAAGCCCACCTCTCTCTCTCCAGCTCTCCTCCTCTCTATCTGGAAGTGGGATTAGTGGTTATGGCCGAGGTATGGGAATGAGGCTTACCTGGGAGTGGGAGCCTAGTTCTCGGTCCCTCAGCATGAGAGAGAGGGAGATTAGCCCTGAACATAAACACACTGGGATTACTCACTACCAAGGCTTAATGGATGCATGATACAGTGTTCCTACTGCATGTATATTTATGTATTTATATGTGCTTTGAAAAACCGCGCACTCTGCATCCATGTTCATGCATCTTAAAGATGACTTGCAGTGAGATTACCTCCACAGAGAGTTGGGTCACTTTGAGCCTTTCAAACACAGAAACCGATGGAGGGAGGATTAGTCAGCTAATCTAAATCGACACATAACAAACTGTTCAGATACGCCTCTTCCATTTCAAATTTGAATCATGCTATGGTGTTCACTTATTTAGGTTGTGCCCGTGTCAATCAGTTGGTGGCTATTTGTTTGATGGAATCAATATTGTTATTTTTTATTCTGTTTACTTGCAAGTTTTGCCAGTCAGTGAGTCGGTAGCTATTTGTTTGTCCAGAATCAATATTTGTGTTACTTCCGACCTCACCTGCTAAGCAAAGCAGCTGCCATAGCAGGGAAAAGACCTTATGTAAGTCAGCATGGAGTTCGCTGTGTCTCATTTGAAGTACAACTCTGAAATGTAATTGGTCTCCTGACACATGTAATTGCACATAGACACACTCGGAAATGTGTGCTTTCTCACTTGCACATCCTTTGCATGTTTTCCATGCTTTTGAATGCATCAGAATGCATTAGCCAGAGAACAAAGACTGTGTACATTGGAGGATGTTGATTAGTCAATTACACAACAGGGAGTATGATAAGAAAACTCCAGCAGATCTCATGAATATAATGCCTCATTATGATGTCCACCAGCTCTTTATTTTCAGAGGTTTTCCCATATTTTCGACAGTCAATACCCCATATAATCTGTGTTGGGATAGCGAGCATAGGTTGTCAATCAGCCTTTGGGTACTTCTGAGCAAATGACGCAATCTTATATCATAGCTATAATACAAACTTAGAATACTAATCACTTACCTATTTTTAAATGTCATGAGTGGACGTCTCTATTGTGGGGAATAAATGACATTTCCCACTATGTGGTTTTTATCAAGGTTACAGGCAGTTACATGGCAGCATCAATGAATATGTTCTAGAATTTATTATTAAAAGTTTCCCTCTTGACATTTTGATTCAGCCAGAGCAACCTAATAAAATGTACAATAAGATAGAGTATTAGCTCATCTTCCCTTATATCTGTTTTTGGTCCCTGCCCACATGGAAGGAATATATATGAACCTATATATTTTTAATATATGTCACATATGTTTAACATATATGTGACATATCTGAAATTGGACCCCTACATATATGTCTCTGAACATATATGTACATATATAGCCATATATGCACATATATGCACACACATATATGTACATATATGGGTGCAGTGTATATGCACATATATGCACATATAGGTTTCACATATAGGTTTCACATATATGCACATTTTTGCACATATAGGTTGCACATATATGCACATATAGGTTGCACATATATGCACATATAGGTTTCACATATATGCAAAACATATATGTGCATATAAGTTTCACATATA